TTTAATGCAAGCACAAGATACCATGGAATAATTAAACATGATCATGGACGTAGCTTAAGAGAATTAAAAAGTTAAGCAATTCCGAGTTAAAAACCTTGGGGAAGTATTTAAAGGAAGTTACGAAATTTTCGTGTAAAAACTTTGAGAGGAATTTAGGGAAATTAGCAAATTACAAAGTTCAAATTGTAATCTTCGACAGAACTTCAAAAGCACTGAACAATGAAAAAATTCCAAATTGAAAGTTTCGAAGAAAATTTAAAAGGGAAGAAAAACTAACAAATTTCCGCGTTCAAATGAACTACGATTATTCGAAAAGTTTTGTCTATTTTTTGCGTAGCAAAAAACTGGTGCATATCTCGTTGATATTATTTTATATCGAACAATAAAACTGTTTACGTTCCTAAAATGCAACAAATGAATAAAAACAGCGTTAAAATTTCCGCGATAACGACGACGAATTGGAAACGTTCTTCATTAATTACTTTTATGCATTTACCTCGGCAGACATTCGCGAAAACAAATCCACTGAAGGATTTAATAACAATTTCGTTAAAAGCTTGGAAACGGTAACCGCTATTTGTCACCCGCCTAATCCCAATTCGTTTAAAAAATGCACTCGTCGTACACGCGTTATGTCGCCGTCTGCGCGATATTTTACGGAAATTTATTCTCGCGTCAGACATCATCGGTCATGTTTTCGGGAACGCAAAATACGAACCTGTCCAGGTGAACAAGAAATTTAGTGTCTCGTTCATGTGTACACCTATGTTACATATACGAACACACAGTAGTATACACGGCCTTCGCCAATATTTCGATCGGACCAAAATGGCATTCATTTGAATAAATTTTGGACGAATTTCACGTCAGCAACTGTAAAAGACAAAAATGAACTTTTTCGAGCGCTTGACATTTTCCAAGAATTCTGACAACTTTAAACTTACATTTGAACATTGAAGATGAATAGTTGGTAATTGATAACGTTTTCTAAAAGAAATAATCGCGATCGATATTTGGGAACATAGAAAATTACAATAGTATGAAAATTAATGTGAAACTTCTATTTGAGGAAAATCTTAGATTTAATTATTATTAGTGTTATAAGGTAAAGATACGTTAATTTTAGGTTCACAATTTGATATCGTTTTCTGAAGAAAATAATCGCGATCGATATTTGGAACATAGAAAATTGCAATGTTATGAAAATTAATATGAAATTTCTATTTGAGGAGAATTTAGATTTAATTATTATTAGTATTACAAGACAAAGATATATTATATAATTTTAAGTTGATTACTTGCAAGATCATAAAATAGAAATGAATCGAAGAAGGGAACAACAATATTCCAATACTGCATTGGCGTTTAGAATGCGCTGATGGACTTGCAAAATTTAATAATATCGTCAAACAAATGTTGACTTATTCACGTAATTAGAAGGCTCGAGGTAATAGATGACTCATGGGAGAATTATCTTCCGTGTGTTACCTGTAATGTAGATCAATATTTCAAAACTGAACTCGAACTCGAGGTGGATTAAAGTTACATTTCTCATACTTAACACTTCCTTCAGTTTCTTACTGGTAAGTAGAAATTGAAACCAATAAATCTGACGATAATAATAACAATAAGGAAATTGCAAATTATAAATTTCGAACATTAGAAAGTAATTTTTCTGGAACATCGATAACTCGAATTTTTTATCGTGAAACATCGTTCAATATAAATTTACTTGACATTAACATTTAAAAATCGGTCAATATCAACGAATATATTAATTTACAACTGTTGATAAATGTCAAATGCATGCAGAAGGGTCAATTGCAACGTAGCCCACGCCCAAATATAAATATAGATGGATTACCTATTGTTTCTTCAAAAATCATTATTTACAATGGGTCAGTATTGATTTTACATTACACAGACAAAGCTAAACCCCTAAATGAAATATCCCGTAAAATGTTAAAAAAGGTAAGCTTTTCAAGTAGAACGACTAAAAAATTCAAACAATTTCCCATATATTTTTAAACAAATATTTGATTAAAAATATTTCCAATTAAACACATACAATTCATCAACTCGTAAAAGTATTAACAAACGTTAAATCAAACTAACAACGATACTTAATTTTCAAAAATGAAAAAAAAGAAAAAACTAAATGAATTTTCAACGCTAACTTCAAACTCGATCCCATTCACCATGATGACACTAGATCGGCAACAAAACACCACTTTACTTCACCTAAAATCCCAGGATCATCCCCGAACACGCATTGAATCCAGAAATTTTCTAATCTCTACTTACCTTCTCTTCCAGATCCATCTTTCTTCGCTTACAGAGATCTATCTGTATAATAGAAGAGGCAAGAAAAAAAAGGAAAGAAAAATTGATCTTATTATATCTCTCAGAAGCTGAATTCCCTCTGGAGAGAACAGCTTGGAAGAATCGATAGCGCATCATTTCGACCGGTGGATGCGGTTCTTCCCCGAACGAGTGGCATCATCATCTGCGCGAGATCCTTCGTTACCTGCAGGAACACACCTTCCTTTAGCTTCCGTTCACCCACGAAACGTCATTGTCTCTGGCGTCGTCGTCGTCGTCGTTGTGTCGTGGTTGTCGTTGGTTCCTTTTCAGCGGCGTGTATTCCGCGCAAGCTCCGGGCCGTTACTATTGATCGAGCATTTCGCTCGATGGTCGCTTCAGAATACCACGAACGGTCCGCACACCGTAAATATTCGTTCAGTGCGTCGTGGCCGAGTGACTTACGCGGATAAAAGCGTCTAAATTCACTGGTGAAAACGTGGCCGAACATGGTCGAAGAAGTGACGGAAGTCAGATCTGTGATTCAACCCGTCGACTTCGGTGAGTGGAGCACACAGTGAGAAATCCTTGTACAATTTTGCCTCGTACCTGTGCCTACCAGAACCCTCGTGATCCAGTCAGCATCGATCCCACCACGGACGCGATTCTAGGTCCTTTCCTCGATTCACGCGATTGCACCATCGTGCGTTTCATTCTCTTCGTGAAACGATCGAGTATTTTCGATGATGTTTGAAAAGGGTGGTGATCACGGAGAGAGTAGTCGTGAGGATCGAGGAAATCGTGGTGGCGATGGCCGTAGACAGCTGTTACGCCGTGATCCTGTGCATTTCGTGACTGGGTGTTTCCATCGATTACGATCCTTTCTACGTGCTATCTTTCCCTCACTTTTCTTAGATAATTTTTCGATTGATATCTCGTAAGATTTCGTGACTGGGTGTTTCCATCGATTACGATCCTTTCTACGTGCTATCTTTCCCTCACTTTTCCTAGATAATTTGTCGATTGATATCTCGTAAGATTTGCCCGCACGTTTGCTCAGGGGATGATGTACCCGTTGGATTAGTTATTTGCGGCAATACGGTATGTGTATAGTGAACGATGGTCGGTTCCATGGCTAAGACGCGAGACCATGTGATAAGCGAGCAGTTGAGAACTTCGGATCGGTTTATGCATGCACTATTTTTGTATTTCGTTTTCGGATCGACGTGGAATAGCACGGTTCGAGTAGCTCGTTAAAGGAAAACTCGATGTGCATGCTATTTGTGGCAAGGCATAAACTTAAACATAGCACACTGTGAATAGGGGATGGAGTTCGAGTACTCGCTATAATGTTTCCATCTAAAGATGGATGTGCATGAAACTTTCCTTCTGATAGATTTTTATCGAGTTTTTAAACGACAGATTTTTAGAATAACGTTTCTCCAGTTAGTATATATCGTCAAGGCACGCACGTTTTCGCGATGATTCAGCGTTGCTAGGAGTCCCTATTAATTAGCAATGGGAAAATAACACTGTTTTACTTAGTTCGAATCTTCACTTATACCTTTATTTTTTGTAAATAAGTATATATGATATTTTTCTAACATTAAATGATCTTTGTTTAAAGAAGCAGAAATTTTAGAAGATTATAGGCTTGACTGATATAATTCTGGGTTTGATTGTGGTCCTTGGGTCAGGTAAATCGTCGTTTCTTAAATGCACAGGGGAATATAGCGAGTACTGCAATGGGATTAAATTGGATATGAAACGTAGTACCTATACGTAAAATTTTTAATTAATCACTTGGACTGTAATATCGAGTCACATTCAAAGTGTATCAAAGAAGAATTGTACATTTAATAATCTTTAACTTTTATTCCAACCGTAGTTCTTTAATCATAAGTTGCACTCCGAATATGACTCGATATTAAAATACAAGTGATTACTTTACGAAATCGAAGACTCGAAATAGAAATTATAAATAATATCTTGATTAGGGATCTTTTAGTTCAGTACTTCAAAGAAATCAAAGTCTCCTTGTTTTGTATTTCCTTGTAATTTCACGTGTCAGGAACACATAACTCAAGTATTAAATGAAAAATAAAATAGAGGCAAAGATAAATAAAAATTCCGAAGTTGTCATCGCTCTAATGAATTAAAACGTTAATAGTAAATTTATAACGAAACGTATTCAATGAATTATCGAAGATTTCCATTTTGATAAGAACACCCACGCAAGAGATTTATTAACCCTTCTATACGCGGTGTCTCAAGATTTTCATCGATATATTTGAAGTTCTAAGTTTGTAGGCTTGATTAAAAATTTACAAAAGCAATGTAAATTATAAAAGAAACGATAGGAGGATAGGAAATTCGTCCAATAATAAATTCGCCCCCTCTGTTCATGCCAATCTGGTAATAGCGGGAACGACCGACATTCTGAAACGGTGTACCTATTAGTAGTAAATAATTAATACCTTGTACCAATATGATACAAAGGAAGAATTCGTCGATGTCCAATACAATTCTTTATTATTAACACTTCGTTTCAAAATGTCGACCGTTCCTGCCGGTACCAAATTGATATCGCCAAAAGAAAGTTGAATTTACCGCCATATGAATCTCTCTCGACCCTGTATCACCCTGAAAAAAGGGTCCACAATCATTTCCTTCACATTTCACCTTTACATTCTAATATCTTTCGGCAAACCTTCAAACCCCCTGTATTTATATCACAATTTATCCTTATCTCCACTTTCTATACGGATCGTACTAAACAAAGTTTGTCAGAATGCAGAAACTCGTGAGACATCGTACGTAAATGTTAAAAAGCAATAAAAGAAGCAACTGGATGATCTTCTAGCGAGAAGTAAAAGTAACGATATTTGAAAAAGAAATACGCATAATTCCAGTGTCGACGACAACCGTAGTCGCGCTATGTATGGGCGCCGTGTTCCTAGTTTGCGCCGTCGCGATGACCTGGTGGCTTTGTCGACGACGTCGCGAGCACACCAAGCTGAACTCCGACAAGTCCTTGGCGTTCAGGCCCCCGCCCCCCCCAGCCATTATCTGAAGAAGAGTCCTAGCCCAACCGGACCCGCCAAGAGTCCTCCTGGTTCCGGTGGACAAACGCCCAGCCCCACTGGCTCTCAGTCCTCAAATCCTGGTTCACAGCCCAGAACACCTCAGGGCACAGGTAAGACTTCTAATTCACGTGTATCGACCTGTTTGGAAAAAAACGTTCGCTGGGATTAAAGTTTGCTTTCCTTGCTGTTCAACAGCGTATATAGGCTGTTTGCTCTGACTTTGTGAGATTTCTCTTAGCGGTTTCTATGAAAGCGATTTTTTTTTTTACTTTGTAAAATTGGAAAGGCTTTTTTATTCGTACTGTATCTGCGTATTTAGATTGTTGCAAATAAAATGGTCAATTCGTAAATGAAACTTTAAACCTGAATAACGTGGTCGAAATGAAATTTTATCAATAGAAATAAGCTCCTGCAGATTCGACTGCGAACGAATTGCAAGTAAATTTAGCCTGTTGTTATAAAAATCTGAATATTGGCAATAAATTGCTCGAACGCATTTTTTCAATTGTCGCCTAATTTCTTAAATATTTGTTTTGTTAAACAATTATCGAAATGCTTGAACTAACGTTGTGTTGTCCATTCACTAGCTGTTAATATCTCAAATGCTGTATTAATATTTTTCGTTACCTCTGTTGGAACCATGTCCCCGTTTTAATTCGTAAAAGACTATCTCGCTCGAATTTGATTAGAATCTATTTTCTACTTCTAATATAATATTAGCTGCTAACTTTTACAACGGAACAAGTCTTTCATTTGAAAAAGTAGGTTTCAGTTTTTCATGCGACAATCGACATGAATTTAGTTATGAAAACAAGACGGGATCCGCCATTTCATATGCAATGACCTAATAGTAAATGTAGAAGATTTTATGGGAACGGATAATCAAAGTTAATGCGTGTATTGTATTACACGAATATTTCTAAAGTTGCAAGAGTTACGAGAACTTTTTGTTCGTGACAGAACTTGGCAAGAATACTTCGTTAAAGGAATTGCTGGAAATAGTTCACGCACAAATTGTATATTGGTGATTCACTGTACAATATGAATTATATTAAATTATCGTTCACGTTCAATGGAAAGAAAATGGTAATATGCAATAAATAACCGAAAAGAAAATAATAACTTGCAGTACTAAACATAACGAGCATTTTAGCTAAGTATCATTATGAATAAGAAACGTTTACGGAAAATGTTTCCAGTTACATGTTTGCACAATCTTTTTCATGCTTACAAAAGGTGGTCATACATATTCCACTATGACCAGTTAGACCCATATTCCTTCCACTAGCATTCTTTTCAGCTCTGCACAGTAGGATACACTCTCAAAGTTTAGCTATGTATGTATATCTGAAACACCCTGTGTGTATATACACCTATATATACTGGGAAAATTAACATGCACATACATACGTCTAGCACAGCACACCTGACATTCATATTATCATTTATATGTGTAAGAATTCTTCGAAGCGAGTGTTTGGATCCAAGAGATAGAGTGCGAATGGAGAATGACTGGATTAGAGTGATAGACGTGCGATAGGATAGTGTTTAGTCTGCAGTGTGACAGTCTTGCGCATAAGCACTTCCATGTCATTGAATCTGTGGATTTAACACCTTATAGAGATTCACTGATATAATGTATACCGTTTAGATTAGGGATTTTATATGCCAAAAGGCACGACTTGGAAGATAAAATATTTTAATATAAAATCGAGGTCCCCTGGTTGTACAGAGACTAATTAAAATACTAATTGGTTTCTGTATATAACTTATGGTCTAAGGCTGTTGATGACCAATACTGGGGATAGAACGGTCTAAGCTAGTTTATTCAGATGAGCAATACACAAGAAAATTGTGGTAAACAAGAGGTGAATCAGACTTTAGATTAAATTGACCATCATAGAACGAAGAGAGTTCTTGAGAGTTAGAGCGATAGAGGTGCGAAAGAAAAGTGCTTGGACCGAGTGCGTGAGATTATCGTATATAAGAAGACTGTATGGCCATCCATGGTTGAAGGCGTATATCATTGAATGTCTGTTAAAATTGTCCGCATAGAGTGGAAGGAACAGAGAAATAGAGAATGTGCGGGTGCGAGGATAAATGAGGATGAAAATGGCACGTGTGAATTAGTAACACTCAAAGTCTAGACTCTAGAGCAGTGCCCGTGTGGGCAGCGTATTAGGCTTTCTTGGGCGTAAACAAATCGACGGGCAAGAGGCCACACCGTTTTGGGCAACGGTGCGTGTATGTACGTATGTATGTAGTGACCATCGCCTGTCTTAAGAAGGAGAATTATGTTTCAAAGATACACTTCGCTTTAATGTATGTGACATCACTAGCCCGCCACTTTGCCCTCAGCTCTGTCCGCGGGCATAGGCGGGTGCCCTTGCCCGCCTGAAGACTTGTCTAGAGTCTATCACCTCCTCTCATCTTTAAAGCTGCACAAACTTAAATCACCAATTTCTCAGAAAATTCATTGTTAACTACGAATAAAAACGAGAAACTTTCACTCTTCTACTATGTCATAAAAATGCTTTCACAATTATTTCTCTACTACACAACAAATTGATATGTTCGCAAAAATCTACTTATCGATAATTAAAAAGAAAATTGTTTATTCAATGAATTACAGGTACTCCAGCCCACACACCTTCCGGCGAGGTAACATTGTGCATCGAGAATGAACGAGACAAGGCGGAACTCGAGAACAACGAGAAAACAGAACGCGAGAAGAACCACACGACGGAGAACAACAAAGACAACCTGGGCCAGCTAATATTCAAATTGCGGTACGTAAGCGAACAGAATGCGCTCGTTGTGACGGTGCTGAGCTGTAAGGGACTACCAGCAAGGGAGCAGAATGCCACCAGCGATCCATATGTGAAATTGAAATTGTTGCCCGACAAGCAGCATCAGGTGAAGACCAGGGTCCTCAGAAACACCAGGGACCCTGTCTACAACGAAGATTTCACGTTCTTCGGGATATCGAAGGATCAACTTCAGGTAACAAATTAACTCCCATTTCTTGATTGATCTTCAATTAATTTTTGGTTTCAAAAAATTCAAATTAAAAATATTGTTGATTTATTCGTTGATCGTATTTTGGAAATGAAACTTGTGAATATTGATAATTTCTATGATAAAAATTGTTAATTATTACGATTGGGGGATAATTAACTTTAGACTACCTCTTCGTTATCGTTTCTGTACGTGAAATTTCTAGATTGTACTCTATCTATTACAGGATGATTTTGTACAAGTAGAAATAACAATCGTTGTATAATATCTTTTTTAATACGATGAAAATTTAACAAAGATGAATGTTAAATGTAACTAACTGCTCTGATATTCTATGAATATCCGAATTCAATCTTCCGAATATGTATGTCGAAGAAAGAATCTCCAAGGTATGAATAAACTGAGCGAAGTTTAAGAGAGTTGGAGTTCAAGATATAAATAAGTTAAATTAATTTTAACACGAATCAAAGTATAAGTAAGCTCAATCAAATTTAAAACGATCCGAGTTCACGGTATAAATAAATTAAATCTCGAACTGTGTTTTCATTGTCGTTCACAGGAAATCAGCCTGCACTTTATAGTACTCAGCTTTGATAGATACTCTCGGGACGATATTATCGGTGAATTAACGTGTGCACTTTCGTCGGTGTCCGATTTGGAGAACGCTGATAACCAGGAGATATCATTGTGTCGAAAAATATGCCCTAGAAGCCTCAAGGTGAGAAACAAGCCACGAAGTATAATGCTACACTTTGAAACACGACATGCATAAATTCTTCCATTTTTTTAAATTACAATGACATACATTTTCATTTTATTTCTCTGTTTCTCTAGAAATTGAAAATTGAAATTTTTATCGCTGTTATGAAAAATAAAAATTTCACGAAATATCCTAATTTCCACATTACAGTTCTTTCAATGGTTTTCGGCCGTTAGAGGGAAAACCATACAAAATCTCCTTTTATTTTTATTTTCAGAGATTCTAAAAATACTTGACAACGTTAATGAAAAGATAGTACATGTGTTTTATTTTCTAGCGATAACTATTAATAACTATAAGTAATATTAATAGCAATAGTGTACATGTATAATTGGTATGGAAATTTTATTTTTTCGATAAGAGCTCTGAATAATATTAATAAAAATAGTGCATACGTAACTAATATGGAAAGTTTACTTTTTCGCGTGGAAAGCATGGATGAAAAGAAACTCAATTGCGAGAAAGCTTAAAAGATCTGAATAATATTAATTAAATAGTACATAATAATCAATATAGAAGTTCTACTTTTTCATGGTAACCAGTAACTTAAGAAAATTTTAGTTTAAAAAAACTTTGAATAACGTTAATAAAAATTTAAAAAAAATAAAAAAGAATTATTTTTCATAATAACAGTCAGATTGCATCAATAGTTTCTTCGACTTTCACATAGATGGTGAAATGTCTAGCAATCATCTATTTTAACGTTTCCGTCTCTTGTAAAATGCCTTATAAGAAATACAAATGTGAGAATGAATTCACATTTAATATCAGTATTAATGGTATTGTTGCGTGGTATAAGTACAATCACAAAATCTCTCTGTGATCACTCAGCCTCTGACAATAAACATTAATTGGTCAAAGAGAAACTCCGTATAAAAGGACTTAGAAAAAAACCTAGCATCTCTGATTACAGATTCAATCGCAAGGCAGGGGAGAACTGCTGGTTTCCCTCTGCTGGCAGCCGAACAACGGCCGATTGACGGTGGTCGTGCTGAAGGCGCAGAATTTGCCGAAAATGGACGTGACAGGACTAGCGGATCCGTACGTCAAGATCTATCTTCTGTACAAGTCTCAGCGCATCGCGAAAAGAAAGACGCGTGTGAAGAAACGCACCCTTAATCCAGTGTTTAACGAGTCCTTCGTTTTCGATATACCGAACGGTGCTGATGGTATCAACAACGTCAGTCTGGAGTTCATGTTGATCGATTGGGATCGTGTTACAAGAAACGAGGTACGTGTTGAAAACTTATACCTCTGATTTCCTTTACACTGACTTCCAATTCGCGCTTTCCCTCATGTGCTAACCTAACCTCTAAATTTGTCGTTTAACGCGTCGATTGCTGATATGTCATTGCAGAGTGATCGCGATGAATTTTTTATGAGAAAAGGGGACAAGGGTAACTAAACTCGGTCTTAAAAGTTTATACTAAATGTTTGTGGAATTTTTCCGTACATTTCAAGAAAAAGTACAATTTGTTGCTTTCTTTTCTAATGTAGATTGCTACGGTAATAATATCGTTGTATTATTCAATTTGTTCGTACCGTTGGTTTCCTTTATTCGTTATATTATTACTTAGTATGTATTACCAATATGTAAGACGGTAAGTTTTATACGTTTTTTTACCATAAAGTAAAAATGAGAACTTTTTGACGTGGCGTGTTTTACCAGTATACTACGTATCCACGATATTATGTCCCTTAGTTTGTTCATGATTCTTTACATAGTATAAGTAAATTTTACCGAATATAGTTGAAAACCCGAGAGCATAAATTTGCATAGGAATAAAACCGGAAGATTATAGTAATCGTTATACATATACTACGCGATAATCGGCACGATTTACTTCTGTTAGTTTTTTTTTTCTTTAATTTCGAACGTAATAAGGAGTTAACAAGCGGAGAGAGCGAAAGCAGTTAGCGAGGTTAGTTGCAAACCCCAGAAGTCATCTCCAGGGTTAAAAATGTTACCGCGTAACATGATACTACGTTTTGAACTTTCTGTAATATGTAAAACGCGAAGGTAAGAATTTCTAGGAATACTTGGTAATTTCGTTCTTGTGACGGTGTTAGTCAACAAAAATGAACATGATTGATTGGATCGCTAAACCGCGCACACGTTGATACGCGTGTATTCGTATCGTATTCCACGGCCCTCAAGCTCTAATACTACGGCTGGGTATAGCGTGACGCGACGGAAAGTCGTACTCGGTTTCACCGGCCTAGCGTGATTTTTCACAATTTTCTTATATAACGCGATGCAAACCACAGCATTTAATCGGGAAATTAATTCGATAATTCCTAATTTTCAAAATACCACTCGAGCATTTTGCGTTAGGCTTAACTGTAGAAGTAAATTAATTTAATGAAATTAGGACCGATTTTATCATTCACGTGTCTGAATATATTTAAATATGGCTGTTGTTTAACGTGTTCCTAAAAAGTCGACGCAATAATTAGGATCAACATTGCTAAAATTATACGACTCGTAAGAGAGTTTTAGCGCTCTTACTAAGGACCTAAACATAATAACAAATCACTTGTTAAAAAGTACACAATTTTCAACAGTACTTTGTCGCTTTTAATACACTGTTAATAAGTGAAATACTTAAACTTCAAAAAACTTTCATCCTGATTGACATGTATAAGAACCATCTTTTTTCTGACCTACTACACGGACATTCTGCTAGAGACGTTTATACTTCCATCGTTTAATCACATAAACCTACATGTAACTTTTATACACTAGAATATTTAATATTTATTTTTTAATTCCTTAATTCAAAATTATCCAAACATTTAAGCAACTGATTTACTTGAAATAAGCAAATAACAGTTGAACAAAGAGCACCAGTAAACGCATCTACACGGTGTCGCGTTAGTTCTATTCATTGAGTATACATAATTGTTGATATTTTAGGTAATTGGACGGCTGGAGTTTGGCGGCCCGGAGTGTAAAGGATCCGCTCTGAATCATTGGAGAGAAGTATGCAGCTCGCCGCAGAGGCAGATCGCTGATTGTCACAAGTTAAGGGAGTAACCAGTATCTCCCTGCCCTATCAACTTTCCTGGAATCCCTTCTCCAGCTATCCAAAAAAGCCCCACATCCTTCTCCATTGTGAAACCACCGATCCAACCCCTTGAAACCCTACGATGAAGTAGGGTATCTGTTTTGTAAACCTAATACTCGATGTATATTAGGCTTTGAAGCGAGTGGCGGCACGTCCACCCGCGATCGATGCAACTGCGGATGCACCGCGTGAAAACGTCGTTACGTGTCGGCCTGAAGCGTGTATACATAAAGTGACTTTTATCGCACGATAACTTCCGAGTACAACCGGGGCGTCGATTCGATAAAACGAAACTGCACGTGCTTCTCTTCAGATACAAGGGATCTGTGAGAATATTCTACCTTTTCACGTTCTCCCTATCACCAGTTCGATTTCTCTTCCGTTCGAAGCTTTCGTTGATTTTGTACGATAACGAGAACTCGCGCGATAATTCATAGAACTCTCTCTCTCTCTCTAACATTGTTCTATGGCAAGGGGATGTTCGTCGCTGCCGTCGAAAATTTACCGGTGTGTTTTGCGCGTCGAAGTTCTATCTGAAGTACGTAGTTCATTTTCTTCTACAGATATATTTTCATGCAGAACAGTATGATCGACGGTTTAACGTTGAAAATCAGTTCCTCCGCGCTTGAAGTTTTAGAAAGAAAAAAGACAAGGCTCGCTCAAGAGATAACGAAGCGTCGCACAGCCGCAAGAATGTAATTGAAACACCTCTAGAAACGACGATTAAGATCGCGCTAGTTTCGTAAATCCAGATAATTAATTCCGGCTTTTGTTAGTCGAACAAGTCTGGATGGATGAATTTGTCGGCCGACGCCTCCATTGATCGCAGTGGCATACGATCGCGGGAGAAACGCATACAAAATGCTTTACGATATAAATATAGTTGTTAAGATTTCCGACCAGATGGCAAATAGAGGTGGAAAAAATGATGCAGTTAACTAAAAACAATCGAGCGTTTGCCGATTGTCGAACACTACCGTCGCGAGCGCAGGGTCGTGCTATCGAAAAATCGTCGCTTTTTAACGGGATATTTGAAAGAGGGATCCTTGATATTCCTATTAGAAATTCGATGAAGGATCCTTGGTTTTTTGCAAACGATATTTCAATGCACGCGAAGTGGAAGTCCGTCAATTTTAAAGTTTTAAGAGATTTGTAAGAACACACCTCGAAACATGTGAGTTTTAACGTTTTACAGACAAAACACGATTTACGATGAATTGGTAACGAGACTAACTGCAACCAAGTGTAATACAGTGAAATAAAAATGGAAATAAATTATTCGTTTTAATCTTTGATTTGCTTTTTGATTTCAGAAGTTCGAATGTCGATAAATTGAATCAGTCTATATAAACATTTATAAGTACTAGTAGGTCAGTGGTTTTCAACTCGAACGATAAATCGCATAAAATAGAAGCACACCGAAATATATTCGTATATCACTACGTAGAAAAAGTACAATTTTGTATTTTATATATATACATATATACATATATATATACATACATACATATATACATACATATACATATATCTATATGTGTATATATATATATATGGATACGATTTAAATAGAATTTTAATAGTTAACAGCAAAGACAACAGAAATAATAATTAAGATTAAAATTTTGTTTACCTCGATCAATTTTCTTCTCAATCGAGAGAGAAATGTGCCCTGAAGATCACGCACGACCCTGTCAGATCACGAAGACCATCGTTTTCGGTAAAGATAATGTGAGTTAATCGTAAAAAAAAAAAAACAAAAAAAAAGAATATAGAGAGTCAAGCGACGCGCTTGCAACTGTGTTTATTTCGTTCGTCATGTAAATACAAGGATCTCTCCAAAATTTTCATGGAATAATAAATTATAATAACCGGGAACAATCTCTTATTTATAATTTCCAATTAAGCTCTATTCTTAGAAAAGAAGGAAGTAAGTGAATGAAAAAGAGAAAAAGAAATATAGAGGGGAAAAGAAAAATTGAAACGTTTAACCTGTAACTTCGACTAACTTATTTTTTAATATTTACAATTACACAACAGATTTAGAGAATTAGCACAGCTTCGTAATTCACAGGTATAACGTATTATTAATAGATTAATATGAATACACATCGAATGAAACTGTCTCTAAGAATATTTTTGGAGCGATTCTTGTAGCAAAATGTATGCAAACACCACGAGACGTGGAGATGATGATTCTGGAAACGTCATGAACATCGATCAAGCTTAAAAACAATATTACGATTATTCGTTCCTGTTCCAAAAATAATTCCCTAGCTCCACGTCAACTGGCCGAATATTAACACTCGACAATTAATGATAAGAAAAATTACGATTCCCGTTTATTAAAGTATCCAACAAAAATTTCGACAAATACTTCTCCATGGAATAGAATCGATGGAGAACTATCGATCAAATTCTCGACTTGCTCCAGCAGAGAGAAGTTGCATAAGAGGGAAGTCGCAGTATCGCTACGAAACAACTTCATCGTGGTGCATTTGATTATTCTACGTGCACGTTACATTATTACGATTTGTTGCTAGGTTTCGTTTACTTCGAATAGACAACAGTCCTTGTTTCTCGTGATAAAGATTAAAAAACGAAGCATTTTCTTGTTCGCGTTAACCGTGGAACGGGGTCGAGGAATTGTAACGTTGTTTTCAAGTGCCAATGGAGACCGCTTCGCGAATACGATGCTCTTTTTAGTTACAAAGACCACTGTGGTTTCAATTGCTATTAAATGAAGAAATTAGATTGTACGACTATAATTTATGAAAAGATTCCATTTGCACGATGTATAATGAGAAGCCGTCATCAAGTAGTATACTTGTTGAAATAGTTTTGACAGTAGTCGATCAGTAATGAGATGATTGTAAGAATAGCAAACACGTTCAATTTCAATAAATGAAAGCATTGACGATTCTGTTTTACACGATTAAATTTAATTTAAAAAAAGAAAAAAACGTAAGTTTGTTATTTGACAGTGCATTAATGTACCTACTGTTATATTAATAGAAGATTATTCTTCTTAAATTATTGTTGTATTTTTAAATTATTTGGCAAAGGTAGAAGTATGTACAAAGGTATGATTAGAAACAAATCTAATTAGGAGAAAAGTTTAAATAGTTTTTTAATCTGTTTTGCTGGAAAGTAAATTGATATATGCGCGCGAGGTACCGACGATCGATGTGATGAATTTAATTGTGTAAGAGGAGTTTCCGTTTTAAAGGCCCCGTTCGCATGTACCGCAAATACAACACTGCGATGTATAACGAATATCGATTAAGTATTATCATAGGCTCGAATTCACCGAAACTTTAAAGTTACTTTAATCTTGGCATAACCTTTAATTACACGTACCTTCTACACGTGAAGTAGGCATAAGAATATTAAGCTTCACGCTTAATCCTCGCAATACTAACAGTTTAGGCAACTGCACGAACAACAACGCCTGAGTCCACTTGGGCCCGTAGCCTATTCTCGCTTGTGTAAGGATTTTGAACTAAGTTTCTATTCTATTGTACTTTTTTCTTTATGTCTAAGGAAAGTTTTGATAACAGTACAAGTGAATACACAAAAATTGTCTTTAAAATTTATACAAAAAAGGTTGTTTTTTGCAATTGAATGTTCAGTACATACATATTTTTTTGTATATGTTGCATTTTATTCGATATTTGTTGTTATTGTTGATACGCATATAACATCTCGCATGTTTTCTTTGTACTGTTGTATCATGACGTTTATTTATTTTTCTATCGGTAGATTCTATTGAATTTACAATCGTTTCGAAAAACTTACGTATTTCGTTGTTTTCAAATGCAATATCTCTTCTATGTTCTGCAGATTTTATGCTGCAATTATCTGCCCAGAATAGACCCAGGCGTCGTACGGCAAGGGTTAAAGTGTAAAGTAACTTTAGAATTCTTTACCATCATTGATTATGGAATATTTGCTATGTTCAGGGCTTTTTTTCTGGTGGTGTAATTTCTACATAGCGAAAATTCTCACGATAAAAATGTTCCTAGAAAGTAATCACGCATAACTTGATTAAGTGAATACTTTTAATGCGTTAATGTTTGACGCAAAATAAAACAGCATTTTTTTTTCGATGTAACATTTCAAAAATTTCGTTTAAAAGACATATTTACACATTTAAAAGGTATGATTTGTAGAATATTGACAAATTTATATAGTAAATTTCACCTAGACTACATTTCAATAAATTTTATTTACTCGTTTCATTTCGACTTGATTCAAATCTGAAATTTACAAAATTTAAGTTTTAAGGAAATTTATCTTAACACATTCGTTGTTCTAGCGAAAATCGAACAATCGAATGATAGCATAATTTATTGCAAATTTCAATGTAACTAGTATAATCATAAACTGAGAAACATCAATGAAAGTGTTAAGTAACGCCTAACAATTATATATCTGACATAAGGTATAAATAAAAGTGAAAATATATCACAGTTATTTAACCAGAAACAAAAATTAAAACAACATCAACAAGAATGAAGTTCACCAATATTTATGAAAAATTGTGCTTGTTAAAAGAAAAAATGCTAGTAATAAAGCGAGTGAATAAGAAGCGCCGCCACAGGAAGCTAAATTAAATTAAACAAGAACATAATCGATATTTTTTGTCCGCAGAAGAAAAGCACCTGACGAGTAAGGCCCAATGTCCACGATGCGTCGCGTAACAGACACGTACATGTAGCGTATGAGGCGGCAACGTTTGGTTCTGTACACGATGCATTGCGTTAGAGACACGTATGCGACGAAACATCGCTTGCTGTGCGCTTCAGTGATGCGTAGCGTATATGTGGACGGCTTCTTTTCACGAAGCGTACAGCAGAGTTTGCATCAGTTACGAAGATTGGCCTTCTGTTTCGTATGCAGGCGACTGCGGCAACGTAAGCTAGACGTCATAACGAATGCATGTCGCGACGATAACATGACGATGACGCTTCATGGACAAACATCCCATCCACTGTTCCAATTGGTCACAGCACTGAAGCGTATAGCAAGCGAGTTTCATCGCGTACGCGTCTCTGACGCGACACATCATGGACATTGGGCCTAAGATGTTCATGAGTAGAAACACTCACTTACACATTCACGTGCGTCAAAGTCAATACTGGTAACGTATAAATCGATCGCTTATTTTTTTATCGCAACTTTCCGTTCCATCATCCTTCCTTTGCAAAAAAGAACCGCTAAGACGAAGGGAGAATCGCGATTCTTTACAAAAAAAAAAAAGGAAAACAAATGAAGATGCAGCGACGAAAATATGGTATAAATCAACACCGACAAGGAAAAACGAAAGTAACGACAAAAATATCACAATATATCGCAGAAGACTCGAGAGATACACCGAATACATAAATTTACATAATTAAGTATAGTAGAGGAAGCGAGGATGAATAAAACCCAAAAATCAATATCGTTGTGCACGATAACGTAACGAGATAAAAAAAAATAAAAGAAACAAAACGGCATTACACGATCAAGAGTTTCAAGATATTTATTTAATTGCTATACAATTACAGATACAACTATATAAGAAATGACTATAATAAGTAGCACGTAGTATATACGACATCTCATAAATTAAGCCTGTCGTTCTCATTGAGCTCGTTACCGATCATTGGATAATTTTTCGAATAAGACAGTGAAAACGGCTTCTCGAAATCGACAGATGCGTTGTAACATATTGAACGTCGGTATGGAATGCTGGAAAATCACCGTTCTTCTCACATCACTTCCTTCGCATTTTTTTTCTTATTTTATTCGCCAGAACTTTCGCGATTAGGGTATTTTCTTTGCGACAACAACGATTTCTTGTATCGAGACTCATGATGTTAGTTGATACTCGTTTGTGGAAAATAGAAAAGATTCACTTCGATTTTTTTTTTTTTTTTCTTTTAATAGAATCCCTTCCTGTTTTTTAATAAGAGATAATACATAAATGTAATACTTTTAAAACTAGTGATTTGGAAGTGGGAAGTAAATTGCTTTAAAATTTCTAAATATAAAGATTTGTTTTATTTTATGTTGTTTAAAGGTTGAGGTTTATAATTATTACAAAATACAATTATCGGCATAATGACATTAATGAGGGTGGATCTTTAATTTTTAAATAAAATTTGGCACGAATCTGATTTGAAATGTGTACCTACTATATTGTAAAGAACAAATTTTATGAATTAAAAATAGTTTAATGTATCAATACACTGAAAAATTGTATTTCATTTCACATTAAGGCAACCTATAACTTTTACTTAATATTTGGATGTATATCATTGAAAGGTTGACTTCGTAGAATACGTAAAAATAATAGAAATTATATAAATACCTTGGTTCTTTCAATTTATTGTTCTTACGGTTTATTTATGTCATACCTTAAATACTAAACGATAGAAGAACACGTATATTTGCAAATCGGTGCAAAAATGAAACAAACAAGCAAGATTACTCCGTACACATACTGTAAAACAGTTTATTATTTGCGTATCATGTTTCACATTGCGAAATCAGATTAAAAAACCAACTTTGTTTCGTATGTGACATAACAAAATATTTTTCTGTAAAAGCTCTTACATATAATATAAATACTGATAACTATAAAAATTATTTTATTTCTAAATTT